GAATTATATATTAGAAGGATAATGGTAGTTTTTTCGAGTGATAACTCTCATAGCTCTTTTATGCAAAATAAAAACAGGATGTGTAGTTGTCTTACATGCTTTACATCATACCTCAACACAATAGACCAGGTGTGGAACAATTAATGTGTTATATAACAAATACAGAGTTTTATCATTAAACAAGTCCCTTACTTTATAAAGCAATGCAATAGATTTAGCTAGTTTTATTCTTAAATAATTTAAATGAGTTTTCCTTGTCAGTTTTTAGGCAGCTAAACACTGTGATTGAAACCAGTGGAGCTGCTGTGAGACTTTGAGCAGGTGGATGTGGTCACATGACTGCTGTTCTGAAAATAACATGAGTCCTTAGAAACATTTGAAAATTTGCTTTGCTCAGTGGCAGTAACTGTTTTTAGCATTTGAACTCCATAGCAATATGTTTGCTAAGAAAAGTGGCTGATTTAATAAGACACAAACAGCCAGAAGTGGAAATAAAGTTTGAAACAGCAGCTATCAGTTTGTACATGCAGGGCGGCCATGTTGGATTTTAAACATGTCAGAACTTCAGGAGACTTCAAGGTGATTATTTTCCAAATGTCAACTTTTGAGTTGTACTACTACAAAACCAGAAGGAAATACTCAGAAGACATGTTAAAAATTTAAAATACTATCAGCTATCAAAAAAACCCAATCTTGAAGTTATGAAAAACCACAAACAGTCATTTCTTTCTCTAATAAAACTTTATTTTTCATTGATTCAGTCAGTGTCTCAGCTGAAGTGTGCAYGTCTAGGTGTGCCAGTTGTGAGTCTGCACAGCAAACGCACAGAAGCACATCTCAAAGCACACAAAGAGCCTGTACAGATTTGTGTCAAACGTTCCAACAAAGTAAAACGCTGCAGCTCCAAGGAACAAGCTGTGAACGACACCTCAGGGAGTGAGAGAGAGAGAGATGRCAACAGGCACAATGTTGTTCCACAAGAGTCGTTTTCATGGCTGTGATATTTATATTTTCCATTCATGCCGTAAAACGCRCAATTTATAAAATGCCTCGGACTTGTCAGAGTGCTTTTTCTCCTTTTAGTGCGTCCCCAGAAAGCCAAGTGCTATTTATAAAAGGCAGGGAGCCGAACGAGGAACTCACTGCAGCAAGTCTGTCTATTTCCAGCCTTCAAGAGTGCTTTATTATTCTCAGCCTGGTGGCTTTTTATTTTTTTAGTTTTTGGTGGGGGCTGCGGGGTTTCCAATWATAGAACAGTTTCAGTGTGTGGTACCACTTTACAATAAGGCTCCCCTTATAAAGACTTTATAGATAGGTTATTTAAACACTTTATCAATCATTAATAAATGTTTATTATGTAATAATTAAGGATGAGAAAGAGACAAATCTGTCCAGTTTCTTTCCAAATACTGAGACAAATCTGTTCACGTACATATTACATCTAAAGGTGCTTATTAAACATTTCACACTAGGTCTGCATTGTAAGTACAATAACTATATAATATTAAAGGGATCCTTATTGTAAAGTGGTACCCAGTGTGTAGCCATGCGTTTACACAGTTTAGTACTTAGTGTTGTTGTAGGGCTGAGGATGCCCTGCAGACCCTGCAGGGTCTGCAGGGTCTGCCGGGTCTGCAGGGTCAGAGGCTGGGGGACAGAAAGACAAGACAGACCACATAATTACAACCCTAATTATAAAAGTTAAGCTGCATTGTGTAAATTTAGAACTGAATGCAACGACCTGATAAACCCAGAGCCGGCTCCGGCTCTTGGCATAGGCGAACTAGGYGGTCGCCTAGAGCGCCATCTGCTGGAGGGGGCGCCGAACTGCAGAAGAAAAAAGTAATGATTTGTAATCCCTGGTTGTAACTCTGCTCAGCGCCCCTTTCAATTAGCTTTGTCTTAAAAAACTGATTAGCTTTAGCGTTAGCCCCAATGCTATCACCATATATATGTATTAGCTCAGCGCTACAC